TTGCCCACTTTTTATTTGTTATTCATCTTTGTGCTGAGCTCTCATTATTTTGGTTGCTTTCTTGTTTTTTTTTTTTAGTGATATTGAAGTAGTTTTTTTTTAACTCAAGCCTCTGTGTGTGTGCAGGTATGTGCGTGTGTGTGCGTGCACATGCGTGCAGGGGGTGTGGGTGGGTGTAGGTGGATATATGGGTTGGTGCTGGAGTTTAAATTCAGGGTCTTTGCCAAGAACGAAGAGACAAACGGTACATGGTCTCCCTGATAAGTGGATGCTAAATCCAAAAGGTTAGGTGATACGACAAAACTAACAGGACTTAAGAAACAAAGAACTCCCGCTCATCTGGTTGAACCACTACTAAATATCCCCATGCTGCTGATCACAAACATGGTATATAACATGTGAACACTGTTATATATTACAGACTGTGGTAGACAATTTGCTCCAGGGAAGTTAGAATGAACTTGTGACTTTGAAATTATGTAATCATTTAATCACAATCAAAAAAAAAAGAACCTCGGGGAAGGGAGGGAGGGAGGGGATGGTAGGGGGAAAACAATGGAGGGGGTAACAATGTTCAAGAGGAAGTGTACTCATTACCTCACTCATGTAACTGTAACCCTCTGTATAGTAGCTTTACAATAAAATAAAATTAAAAAAAAAATTCAGGGTCTTGTACCCTCAGTTAGCTTTTTCACTCAAGGCTGGTGCTCTACCATTTAAGCCACAGCTCAACTTCTGGCTTTTTGCTAGTTAAAGTCTGTGCGATAAGATTCTCACAGACTTTTCTGCCTGGGCTGGCTTCAAATTGCAATCCTCAGATCTCAATCTCCTGAGTAGTGAAGATTATAAGCTTGAGCCACCAGTACCCAGCGATTGCCACTCCACTCGTGTGTGTGTGTGTGCTGGTCCTGGGGCTTGAACTCAGGGCCTAGATGGTGTCCCTGAGCTTTTTTATGCTTATGGGTAGTGCTCCTCCATTTGAGCCACAGCTGTACGTCCAGCTTTTTGCTGGTTATTTTTTTTTTCCCTGCCTGGGTGAGCCTCAAACTATGATCCTTAGATCTCAGCCTGCTGACTAGCTAGGATTTACAAATGTGAGCCCCTAGTGCTTTCTTTATTTGGATGGAAGAGATCTGTCTCCAAGAAGCTGATTTAAAGGAGGAAAGGAGACATGTACACAAAAAAAACTTTATTACAGGACAATAAGGATAATAGAAGTTTTACGAAGAATAAAGGCAAAGAATTGGCCCCTCTTGTCAGTGTTGTAGTTTGGTGAAAAGAAGTAACATTTGTTCAGTCTCAAAGGATGAATAAGAGTTCTCTAGGGCTCTGTAAACTGTTAGGCACTATGTAAGTGCAAGTCTTTGGCCTTATCATTATTGTCCAAGTTTACCTCATATAAAGCCCTCTTTCTTGTCTGTTTCTCATGCTCTCTAAAGCCCAGGATCCCTGGGACAGGAAGCAGCAGCAGTTTAACAGTCACACCTCAGTGCTCCAGCAAGTGAACTGAGGTGCATCCAACGAAGGAGCAGATCCAGGACCAAAGGTCATAAAATTATCTGGGAGCACAGCCAGGAGGTACTGGTGGGTAAACAGTCCCCTGCTTGCCTCCCCATGGAAAGCCTTTGCTTGGGGCCTCCACCCTGACTGATGGGGCCATCTCCACCTGGGGGATGGTAAAAACTGAGTATCACACCCTAGTGTGTGATTTACATGGGCAGGAAATGATGTGTCAGATGTCTAACTGACTCCAGACAGGGTGGAGTGGAAAGAAGAGGTGTGAGTGAGGGGACCAGGAAGGGTGGCAAGAGATGATCTGAAGCTTAAGATTGGAACGGATTTAATTTTTTTGGCAGCACTAGGGCTTGAACTTGGGGCCTTGTGCTAACTAGGCAAGTACTCTACCACTTGAGCCATTATGCCAGCCTATTCTGCTTTAGTTCTTTTTCAGATAGGGTGGCTTGTCTCCCCCGCCCCCCTGCCATGGCCAGGAAGGACAGTAATTCTCTTATTTATATTTCTCATGTAGTTGGGATGACAGTCATGTTCTTCTTAAACCTCCCTTGTATCTGGAGTAATAGAGATGCGTCACTAGTTTCTTTGTTGAGATGAGATGTCCTGCTTTTTGATGGGCTGGCCTCAAAGCATAATCCTTCTCTATCTCTGCCTTGAGTAGCTGAGATTATAGTAGTATACCACTGTACCTGCTTCAAGATTGGATAGGATTTATATATGTACATGTATGTATGTATGTGTGTATATTATTTTTATTTTATTATTATTTTATTGGTCAGTCGTGGAGCTTGAACTCAGGGCCTGGGCACTGTCCTGAGATTTTCTGCTTAAGGCTAGTAGTGCTCTACCATTTTGAGCCATAATGCCACTTCCACGTTTTTCTGTGATTAACTAGAGATAAGAGTCTCACAGACTTTCTTGTCTGTGCTGGCTTTAAACTGCGATACTTGGATCTCAGCCTCCTAAGTAGCTAGGATTACAGATGTGAGCCACCAGTGCCCCACTAAAAAGATTTTTAATACTTCCGATTCTTTCCCAACAACCTTATCATTGTCATGTGTCTATGTCTTCAGGGTGTAGCTCTGAACATCTATCTTCCATCACCTCCCACTTCAATTCTTCTGGCCTATAATTTGAACAATCCTTATTGTTTAATTTTTTATTGTTTTTATAAAAGTGATGTACAGAGGGGTAATAGTTATATGACAGGTAACCTTATTGTGTATGGGAAAAATTCAGTGCCTACAGTGTGGTAGGTACTGTACCAATTATAGAATGCCCTACTGTGCTTCCTGTTTTGCAAAAAATTGTTTATTCATGTAACAAACATATTGAACATCTACTAAGTTTGGTGGAAAAAACAGGCAGAACCTCAGGTTCTCATGAGCCTGTCATTTGAGTGCAGGAGAAAATTAACAACTTAAAAAATAAGAAAATATCAGTTTATTAATGTTGAGAAAAAGCCTCCCAAGAGGCCCACTTCTTAAACCTATCACACTAGGGACTAAGCTTCTTGTGCAAGAACCTGGGGGCAAACCACATCCAAACCATAGCAGATACAGTTTACAATGCCATATAATCTGTGGCTTTGGATGTGAGCTATTCTACAAAATAAACTCTTTTGTTAGGACTTAGTTCAAAATTGCCTCTTCAGGCAAATATATCCTGGCTGACCTAGATTAGAAGTGACCACTGCCACCTTTTTTTCTTCTTTGATAACCCTGAATGGGCTTGTGTCACCACAACTGGGATGGTTTGTTATTTCTTTTTCTTTTATTTATTTGAGACAGGGTGGCACTATGAAGCCCAGGCTGGCCTCAAACTCTTGATCTTCCTGCCGTAGCCTCCTGAGTGCTTGAAGTACATATGTGCAACATTGCACATGGCTGCTTTGCCATTATTATCATACCAGATCATAGTTACTCCCTAGTAGATATCCAGGTCATCCCAGAGATGACATTCAGCTTTCTGGGTAAGTCTTCAATGCTCAGCAGAGGGTAGTCATTTGTTCTGGAACATATGAACTCTCACATAGCTCTCTTCTAAAAATTTTGCCAGTGATGTTTATTCAGACTTGGCAACTGATCAGTGTCAGGCTTTGTGCTGGGTACTTTCCAGCCTGCTAACTCTTCCAGGCCTCAAAATTGCAATGTGAAGAAAGAATTATTATGTTCTTCTATAGTAAAGTGAAGACCATCAGATGCAGTATCTGAAGCAGGTCAATAATGCAAGTCAGAGCTGAGGGGACTAAAATCAGGGCTTTATGCTTGCTAGGTAAACATTCTACTACTTGAGTCATACTTCCAGAGTTTTTCAGATAAAGTCTAGTACTATTTGCCTGGGCCAGCCTGCGACTGTGATCCTCCTACCTCTACTGAGACTATAGATGTGCATCACCATGCTGGTGCTTTTTTTTTTTTTTTTTTGGTAGTGAGCTTTGAACTCAGGGCCTTAAACTTGGGGGGCTGGCACTCTACCTCTTCAGCCATGAGTCCAGCCGTTTTTGTTGGTTTGTTTTGAGATAGAGTCTTATTAACTTTTCTGCTTGGGTTACCCTCAGTCATCTTACTCTCAGCCTCCTAACAGCTAGGGTTATAGGTATGAGCCACTGGAACCTGGCTTTTTTTTTTTTTTTTGCCAGTCTAGAACTTAAACTCGGGACCTAAGCTGGCACTGTCCCTAAGCTTTTTTTTGCTCAAGGCTACCACTTGAGCTACAGCTCACTTCTTGCTTTGGGGGAATAGTTTATTGGAGGTAAAAGTCTCACAGACTTTCCTGCCCAGGCTGGCTTTAAACTGTGATCCTCAGATCTCAGCCTCCTGAGTAGCTAGGATTACAAGAAGGAGCCACCAGCACCTTGCTCTGACTTGTTTTTTGAGACAGGGCCTTGATAACTTTTTGCTCAGGCTGGCCTCAAAACTCAATCCTCCTACTTTTATTTCCTGAGTAGCTCGAGATGTCATAACTATCCCTACTCCTGAGATTTCTTGATGCCACATCTAGTGCTTTGTCTTCTATGTGATGCCACTAGTCTGACATTAATTCACTTGTGCACCTATTTTCTCTTAGGTTACCATTCCCTGAAGGAAGGCTCTGTACTTGACTCTATTCTGTATTCCTGTGGAACCAGAAGTGTTTTGTATTCAGTACACACTCAATACATGTGTCTTAAATCTCCAAGGAGTATAAAAGGGAGAACAAATGTGGGGAATGAATGCTTCTGATATCAACTCATAGTCTGGTGGAGGGCTGGAGAGGAAGGTACTTCTAGGTAAGCCCAGGTATCTATCCAAGGCAGCTGAGAGCTGAGGAACTCTGTTTCATTGCTAAAGCATGCATTTCTTAGAAATCACACCTTTTCCTCAATTGCATCTCTCTGCAGGCAGGCAGGCAGGCAGCAGGGCAGAAGGGAACATGTATCGCTTCCAATGAGTTGGGAAAATGAGGTTAGGTTTTGATTCAGATAGTTATTTGTGTTTTCTGAGTCTGCATGGTCGATAAATTTTCAACGAGCAGTGATTCTGTTCCTCATCTTTCATTGCTTTATGAGACTTCAGGGAATGAAAGCATAACATCCTGCTTTCCCATAAGTTCTCTGGCCACTACCCTGGCACCAATTAAAGACATGTCTATGCAATTAATCAAAACCAATTTGGAAGCGCTCTGGTGCTGCTCCTCTGATGTGCTGCCGGCTCCAGATACAGTAGTTCCTCAGCTGCAGGGATGGAGTTAGGCACATAGGACCTTGTTGATGAACTAGCTGTGCCGGCCCCAAGTGTTAACTATGTCATCTGACATGACTAATGAGGCTCCAGACTTGATCCTTATGAGCAGAGCGGCCCTACTGTCTGGAGGAGGCTCAGTTTCCACAGCCAGCCTGAGAAGAGGCTACAGCGTTCGTACAGTGTTCAGGATACGCATTCCATCATGTCAGCTGGAGTCCTGGAGGCCTCTAGTGTTGGAGCTTGGAGTTGTCCATTGCAGGGGAGGGGAGGGGGATAAGAGGTGGGGGGGGGGGGGGTTGGTGGAAATTGTGGGTTAGGTTCTGTGCTGAGTGCCAGCATGAACGTGACCCAATTTAAACTTCTGGCTCAATCTTCTCATTTTTATGAAGATAAAAACCTGCAAAGTGTGGGACTTGCCAAAGACCTGAACTTTGGAGAGAGAAAGAAAGGCAAAAATCATGGTCTCTGCCCTTGAGGAACTAAACCTGGTTAAGTGTCTATGAAGGTAACAACAGGACTTAACACAAATATATCTTACCAGGGGTTAAGCCATGGAATTCTTTCCTTCTTTCAGTAAACCTTTATCAGGATGAAGGGTTGCCTATGCTCTTGTCACCCTAGAAGTCCCAGGAGCCAAGTATTTGAAGTCAATGGATCTGGTAGTGAGTTTCAGCCTTATTTTAAGTGGATGCAATCTTCAGTAAATCACTTTTTTTTTTTTTTTCTTCTAAGCTTTGGTTTTCTCAGCTGTAACAAAGAACAAGCCAATTCTGCCCACCCAGCTGACTTCCTAATCCTTGTGAGACTCCACGGCCTTAATGGGTGTGAAAAGAGCCAGAGACCTGCATATGTTAGTTATTATTCATATTATTACTCCAAGGAACACTGGCTGAAATCTCTGGAATATGGATCCACAGACAGCTTTAACTCTTTTCCTTTTCCTGCCTCTTTCAGAATGCACGGGAAAGAAATGGACATAAAACCAATTGGTCATCTGCCTATAATCTCAACAGCTTTCCCAGAGTCCTAAATAGGAAGAACTTAGCCACTGTAATTTAATGTTAGTCCATACAGTGATTGAGTACCTACCATATATGCCAGATATTGGCCACGCTGTGTGGGGAATCAAAGTTGGATAAAACATGTTTCTTGTCCACCTTGAGCTTACTATTTAGTGGCAGAAACAGACATGGACATAAATGACTATGCATTGCAGAAAAATACAATTGCCTAGGAAAAAATACAAATGAAGTGCTTTTGAGGTACAGAGGATGGAATGATTCATTTTCCAAATGGTGAGTGGGGAAAGTCTCATCACGGAAGTGGTACTAAGACACTGGTAGAGTTTAGCTCCCTCAGGAAGAAGCATGAGAAGGAGCACTTCCAGCTGAGGGAACAACACAGGTCAATGTATGGCTTCTGAAAAGGAATGGTAATTTAAACCAGAATTACCCATGCAGGGATGCTGCTGTTTCACTGTTCTCTTTGTTGGCTGAGGTCAGCTTGGCTGCTATCCCTCAATCAGAATCTCATACAGACTCTTTCTCCAGCAGGGCCACATGATGTCCCAGCCCGAAGCGCCAACAACATATGACCAGGGATCATAAAAAAAGTTTAGCCAAAAAAATGTTGGGTCATAGCCCTGCCTTCTCAGCCTAGGTAAGAGATCCATACGGGATGCAGCAAGGATACTAACACTAATGTGTACGACCACAGAGGACTGAAGCCTCTTGACCTGGGTCATGCTCTGTATTTTTCTCCTTCCCTCTTGTCCAGAAGGAACCAGCTTATTCTTTATGAGTACTGTCAGAATGGCTTTGGCAGACCCAAAGCTAGCAGCTGGACTCCAGGCATGTTCTGATCTACCCCAGGGACTCATATTTTCTCAGTCTTTCCATCCCTCACTGTGAATCTTTTTTTTTTTATTGTGCAAATAATACAGTGATAAGAACAGAAACTCTACAAGTTAGAGAAAGAGAGCACCCACTCACACATTATCTGTTTGCATTTCTTCTTGCCATTCCTGCTTTTGTCTCTGAGTATTATTGTCTTTGGGTGTTTTTATTATGGATATAACTACACACTCTATTTTTATTGCTTCAGCATTGTACCATACATCTTGTTTTCAACTTTGCAATCACTGGTGTCCACATAAGTTTAGCTGTATTCCCTCAGTATTGAACCAAGTTCCCAGGTAAAAAGGTCTTCCCTAAACTGGGTGTGCTGGCACATGCTTGCAATCCCAGCACTGGGGAGGTTGAGGCAGGAAGATTTGGCCTGAACCGGATGCCAGTCTCAAAAATAAATAAGTACTAAAATAATGTTATGATTTGGACATGAAGGATCCTTTCAAAAGACTCATATATTGAATACTTGGTATCCATCTGTTGGTACTGTTCTGGCAGGTTTTGGAAACTTTTGTAGTAGGGCCTAGCTAGAGAAAGTGCTCAATTGAGGGCAAGTGTTTGGTGGCAGGTATCTTGTTCCTGTACATTTCCTGTCCCTCTGCTTTTTACCTGTCATGAGGAGACTAGCCTTCTCTACATGTTTCCATCACCATGATGTTCAGCCTCAACAAAGGTCCAATGTAACAGAGTCAGCTGACCATGGACAGAAACCCCTGGAAACCATGAGTCAAAGTAAGTGCTTCTTCCCTTTAAAATTGTCCTCTCAGGTATTTTTGGTCTCAGCTATGGAAAGCTAACAAACACAATATAAAAAAGATCACTTTCATTTTCAGGCCTTTGTTTGCAAAATGAAAATGGCATTATTTTCCTCTTCATGGGACTGCAGTGAAAACTGTTGATACCAAAATAGAAATGCTAACTATTAGGAACTCCCTTTGGGTGACTGACCTAGAGTCAGTCCACTTTGGTTTTTCCTTTCTTGTCCAAATTTAACGTATTTCCCAATTCTGGGCCCATTAGGCCTCCTGGGTGAGTTTATCTAAACTGACAGGAATACCAGTCTGCATATTCATATTCATTGAGTGATTACATTAGTATTCTCCTGTGATGGAAATTTTGGTTGTTTTCCAACTTATCATTATTTCTAATATAATGACACAATAAATATATTGCTATATATTGCTCACTCTATCATTTAAAAATCCTACATCCTTAGAAACAATCCTAGGAGTAGAAATACTAGGATAAGTTAGAAACATTTGGATAGTTTCTGAAAGGTCCAAATGGTTTATAGAAGGCTTGTACCTGTTATTTTGTCACCAGTTCAAGGGAGAGGACAACTTGGCTACAAGAGAGGCCCTTGGCTCTGGTTGAAAACTTTTGCTTTTACTTGATTTTTACCTATTTTCTTCTCCCAGCATGCATCCTGAATTCTTATACCATATGGGACATCTGTCTCCCCTCAGAAAGATGCTCCTGTGCATTGTCTCTTTGTATTTTCTATTATTTTCTGCCAACTCTGTAAAAGAGTATCCTTTCATTAAGATATCCTCTTACCTCACAGCTTAACCTTTAGGGAAGTATATCCATTTGTTTCAAAAGCAGCTCAAGAGTACCCCATTCTCTGTGAATCAATTCCTAAGTAGGGTTAGTCATTCTTCCTCCATGTAGTACCCTTGGCATCCAAGTGATCACTAAGAGACAGTTCTCCTCTAGGTCAGGCAACAAAACCCAGTCTTTTCTCCTTTGTCTCTTATATCAGGCAAGCAGCAGGTTATGTCAATTAATCTCCTAAATATTCTTGGAACCACTTATCTCTCTCTTACTACCATCACTATTAGCTATCACCTCTCTAATAATAATAGTATAGTAATAATAACAATAATAATAACAACAATAGTAGCAGAAGCACTAGTGGCAATATATAAAGATGGTCCAAAAGTCAAATTTTTCTTTATAGCTTACAACAGAAAATAGTAGATTCTTTCACATTCCTCCTCCTCCCCAAGCTTTGCTTCTTAGAGAAAACTAATCACTTGCAACTTTCAGATATTTCCTTTATGTGCTTCCATTCTCCTTATAAAATAAATATACTGCTATTTTTTTAAGATCAAACATGATTTACTGACTTTAAATGGAAGATTTCTCTAATGCTACACCCTCCCCATCCTCTAATATAACTAGATTTATAATTATATCAAAATTTTGGTTAAATTATTGTGCCATATTTTTATATTATGGCCAGAATTACCACTAAAAATATTTGCTCACTTCTGTAATCCTAGCTACTCAGGAAGTTAAGATCGAAAATTGCAGTTTGAAGCCAGCCTGGCCAGGAAAGTCTGTGAGACTCTTACCTCCAATTAACCACCAAAAAGCTAGAAGTAGAGCTGTGGCTCAAGTGGTAGAGTTAACCCTGAGCAAAAAAGCTCAGGGACAGCTCCCTGAGGTTCCTGCCCCAGGACTGGAACTAAAACAAAACAAACGAAATAACATAAAACAAAAAATAAAGGACTTTAGCCTATTGCTCTTGTTGATGTCTGAGTCTTCTGGGGGCATCCAAAACATTCATGAATAGGAGATCATGTGAGTTCAGGCAGGAGGGCTATCAGCTGGTGGGTATTAGAACAGTCTCTAGATGGCTTGCATAAAGAGTTCCCCAGGCAGGTAGGCATAGCAAGTTGGCTTTAGTAAGTCTTCTTGGAGAGCCTAAAGCAAAGCCCATGAGGGACTAGAGACTGTTAACCAGTGTAGGCACTGACAAATCTAATCAGACACTGTTATCTTGGGTAGAGTTCTGGATTCCCCACCAATACAGGTAATGCTTGTTGTTTTTTTTTTTTGTTTGTTTGTTTTTTGGCTGGTTGTGGGGTGTGAAATCTGGGCCTGGACACTGTCCCTCAGCTCTTCAGCTCAAGCTGGTGCTCTACCACTTGAGCCACAGCGCCACTTCTGACTTTTTTTGCTTATGTGGTGCTGAGGAATCGAACCCAGGGCCTCATGCATGCAAAGCAAGCACTCTACCACTAAGGCACCTTCCCAGCCCAGGTAATGCTTGTTTAGTTACAAGATCCTGAAAGTTTGAGAGTTGTAAGATGGAG